TTTATAGCCTTGGACTTGTTTCCGATCCTTGAAAACCTGGCGCCCAGCCCCACGGTCTTTCTATAGGGCGGGGGCTAGTTGGAAGCAAATAAGACACGATCTTTTCAGTATCAGGAATATCTCTCTCTCTCTCTCTCTTTTTCTCAATGCAATTAGAGAAATGATTTCTTGAGGCCTGGTGCTGGGGTGTCTCGCATCGTGCAGCCAGGCCCCTGCTGCGCCGTGAGGGGTGCTGGCACGTACCGCGGCGCAGCGGTAGAGAGAGGCAGGGGTGAGGTTTATGACCCGTTAGGAGGGCTCAGGGATACTGCGAAACACTCGTAACAAAGGTCTAAATATTCCTAACAAAGATCTCTGCCTGAAAATCTTTCCCTGACGCCACCTGCTCCCCCCGCCTCTGTGTCGGTGACGCTCTCTCCTGCTGGTACGGCAAAGACTGACCGCAACGCTGCATGTCTCGTGCAGCCCTGACATGGTGGCATGGCTCAGTCCCGGATCATCGAATCGTAGACTATCTCAAGTTGGATCATCAAGTCCAACTCCCTGCTTCTTGCAGGTCTGCCTGAAACTAAACCATATGACTAAGAGTGTCATCCAGACACTCCTGAGTTCTGACAGCTGTCACCACTTCCCTGGGGACCCTGTGCCAGTGACCAACCACAGTCCCAGTGAAGAACCTTTTCCTAATTTCCAATCTGAACTTCCTGTGATGCAGCTTCGTTCCGTTTCCTTGTGTCCTACTGCTGGTCACCAGAGCGCGGAGATCAGCACCTCCCTCTCCGCTGTTCCCCTTGAGGAAGATGTAGACTGTGATGAGGTCACCCCTCAGCCTTTTCTTCTCCAAGCGGAACAAACTGAGTGACTTCAGCCACTCCGTGTAATCCGGATCTGCGCTATTTTCTGACTGGTTTACTACAAATGCCAAACTGGGCTGAGGAATCATGCGCCCCTCTGTCTCTCCGTGTTTCCAGCCGCGCCGTGTCCCGCTCGGGGCTGGGCTGGACTGGGCGGACAGAGGTGCAGCTAGATGGAGCTCTGAACAGAGCAGTTGGGACTCATCATCTCTTCTCTGCCATCAGTCAGGGCTGGGGCCTCCTCTGCGAGCTCCTTGGCTCGCGGGTAGGCTGGAGGAGGAGTCGTGTGCTGTATCAACAGTCCTCCCTCTCCTTTCCTTGCAGTAGCCGGTCCTTTATAGGTAAAGTTCCGCCCTTGCTCCCGGATTTCAGTGTTTTCTGAGCTCAGAGAGCGACTCGGTGGCTGAGGCTCCCACGTTCCCGTCCTCGCCCTTCAGCGGTGGGTGTTTCTTAAGGCGCTGCGCTCTCTGCAGCTGTCAAATCCCGCGGGAGAGCTGCGGGACGCGAAGGGTCGGGAAGGAGAGAGAAGGGTTATGAGAAGAAAAACTGTATGGCAAGGGAGAGTGAAAAGCTCTCTGGGGCCAAGGGATGAATGAGAAGCGAATGGTTTTATACTGGTGGTATGGTGTTCCTTTCCCCACTGATCTGTCCGCTTCTGTCTGCCAGCGAACGCTCCCGCATCTCTAGCAGAGACGGCAGCAGCGCACTCGGACCTGTTTCGCCGCGTGGCCCTGCACAAAGTCTTCCGCTCCTTCAGCAGCGCTGTGGGAAACGTGGATGGAGCACCGTGAGCCAGCCCGGCTCTCCCCGGCAATGCGCCTCCCCGAGCTCCCCCGGCCTGCGGGGAGTGATGGCAAAATGCAGACGTTTTCCACGGACCGTAGCCCTGCTACTGGGAACTCCCCAGAGGAGCTGCTGGCCCAGTTTGAATCTCGAGAGCGATGCTTCCTTGAGGCTTTCGGGTGGGTGTTGTCGCAGGTAACCTTTCCTCGGCGCTCTGCTGCCTGCTGGTTTGGGCGCCGATCTCCGCGGTTGGCGCCACAGAACACGGCTGTAGGAAACATCTCACAATTGGAATCGGAAATTTTATTAAAATCTTCCAAGATCTCGGTGCTTTGAGGGCAATGCCCTACGGATCAGCGCCGCGCACGTATCCAGTGCACCTCAAAAAGAGGGGAGCAAGAGGAATACTCTGTGCCTCGCTTACTACAGCCAGAAAAGGACTTCAGGTTAGAAGCTGGAGGGGGTTGAGGGCCAGAGGTGAGGTTTAGTTATTGCCAGCAGCAACTCCTGCCCTCGTGTGGGCTGCGTTAACCCCCAAAAGCATCAACACTGAACTTGCCAGAAAATTTCACACCAGCAATGGCTTTACAGGTGCTATTTCCTTTCCTTCAGGCACGGGGCGGCTTTGCTGATGTCCCGTTGTTGTGCTTCAAGTCTGGATCAGATCTTTAAAACCTTGCTATTTTCTCACAGTATTTTTTAAACTTGGTAATAAAAGTTCTGCGTTATTGAAATGGCGTTGTTTAAAAAAAAAAATAAATAAATCTTCTGTTGATTTCTTTTAGCCTCACAGTGTGTTTTAGTAGAATAGAACGGGGTTTAAACGACGATATATATATAATGTGGTTTAAATAACAGTATTTTCTCCCCTGTCTCACTTTTACGCGGGTCCCACCTGTGATAAGGCACAGGGAAAACACTTCATAATTATTTTTTTTTTTTTTTTAATTGTTTCTCTAATCATTAGAGCTCCAGGCCCAGGTTGAACTGGGCAACCTATTTAAATATGATCTCCGGCTTCCGAGCGTCGCAGCTCCAGGCGGACACCCCCGGGCTGAGGCTGCTTTAGAAGAGCTGACGGCTCACGGGGTGTCTGCGGGGTGAGCGTTCGCCCGCTCCCTCGTGTTCGGAGAGGCGCGGGCTTTTCCCTGTCTGCCCCGATGCCGTCTCTGCATCGCCAAAAGGCATTTTCATTGTCCCGCATCACTTTTAACTCCGGGGTTGTGTTTTCTTCTGTGAAAAGTGTTTGGAAGGGGGGTGGGGGTGTCAAAAAACGCGCCGCTGGGTGCCTCGCCTGTGCCCGAGGGCAGCCCTGAGTTTGCAGAGGACAGCAGGACCT